TTGTGTAAATAAATGTAATCTGATAAATAATTATTTGCAGTAAGATTATAGCGGTCAGATTATCAATCGTTGTAATAATTATTATCCTATACGATCATTTAAATGTAATCTCCAATTATTTATTACTACCAGGTGCTAATTAAAAATTGGTTTTATATGCTACGTCCCCCCCCCCTATTAATCTGTTGTCGTCTTCAGGGAACTCCAGGGAATAGTCATTTGTGGCGGCATGGGATGGATTAGATCTTGGGTCTATCTTGTTAGAAACTATTGTGTGGTATCCACTCATAAAAGGTCTTCACCATTAGGACTTCACTGAACTAATTATTTCAATACTTTCAAGAGGATTATCCAGGGTTTGATTACTTCTTTTCTAGGTTGACTAAATACGTTATCAGTTAGGTGGATGAAAAAGGCTTATTTTATCTTTCTTTTTCTCGTGTGTTTGTATTCATATCCCATTATTTTAGTGCCATTTATTTTTTTTAGTATGGTTTTCTTTCTTGACATGAAGTGCTTCTACAAATAGAGTCTTGTATGTTTGTTATGCTCCTAATTCTAATATTTTGATGTTTTTGTTTTATTTATCTGTTGAGTCTTGAAGTGGTTCGATGTGTAATAACTATGATCAGTTTGTATTGTGGCTATGAATGACGTTCTGACTTTATGCTGTTTACATGTTCTCTGATTTTTTTTCATAAAGAGAGAGAGACCTTAACATAGAAAAATATGGCTGTGTGTGATTTTAATTTCTTCTTTATAAACGGTTCAGGGTATCCATTGTCAAGGATGGTTGTAGTGATGTGGTTTTCTTCTTTATAAACGGCTTAGGGTATCCATTGTCAAGGATGGTTGTAGTGATGTGGTTTTCTTCTTTATAAATGGTTCAGTGAATCCATTGTCAAGGATGGTTGTAGTGATCTGGTTTTCTTTATAAACGGTTTAGGGTATCCATTGTCAAGAATGGTTGTAGTGATGTGGTTTTCTTCTTTCTTCTTCGTATCTTATGCAATAAAAATATTGTGTTTTTAAGTCTAGGTAGTCTATGATGCCCCTCTTTACACTGTTAAAGTTGTTTGATCGATACTCGAGATATTTGGTAATATCTGTGGGTTTTCTTTAAGTTCCTGTGGTATATGAGTTATGTGTCTTGCTGACCCTCACTTCTTTGAATGGGAGTTTATTATCTTCTCCTACCTCTATTGTGAATCGTATCGCTGGAAGTTGTATGTTCATGTGGTTCATGAATTCTGAATTATTGCTTGTAGTGTGTGCCGATGTTATGAATGTATCGTTAACATATCTGATTTAAATCCTGGGTCTAAGGGCGGTTGTTTTCAGACAAATAACATATCTTCGAAATGTTTCATCTTGATGTTACTGAGTTCTGTTGCCAGACTTTTCTTTTGTTGATAGTATTGATCTTTATGATAGAAGCAAGTTTTGTTTATACAGAAAGTTGCGAATTCTGTTATCCTGGAGATTGTCAACTGGATGCATTCCTTGGAAATTTTATCATTTTTAAAGTGTTGGCAAAATATTTGTAGTGTTTAAAGGGCTAGTACGTTGGTGAATTACTTGGATACATCGAATATGATCATTATATTTTGTGAGGTTATTGTGATTCTTTATAATCTCTACTGTGTGAACTGACTGCTTAAGATTTGTGAGATGGTGCTGTAGTATATTGTTAATTCCGCTTCCATGGTTTTTTCATGTTTCTTGAGGATTTGGTCAAGTAGATAACACAATATCCTTTCAAATAAGAAGATTAATAATCGAATCCCGGTTACTGCAACCACATTAAATCCTCTTCAGGACTTTACTGAAAACGGCAGCAGAATAGTGACCGAAATGTAGAATATAAAACTAACTTGAAATTATTATATAATGAAAAATGTAATTCATTAATGATTATACTTAGATGCTTGTATAAGATACTAACCATGATAAATATCCTGTGATAATGTTCGAAACTACAGTGTCAAAAATATGTTATAGAACGTTATTAAGAATATTCCTAATGACACTTATAATACTACAAAATGAAAATAGAATCAAAGCATAAAATCGTTACATAAAGAATGTCCGTTAGAGTATTGTAACTGTTCTACCTAGATAGAAAAGTTTGTTTGTTTGTTTGTTTTTAATTATGCACAAAGCTACACAAGGGCTATCTGTGCTCTGCCCACCACGGGTATCAAAACCCGCTTTCTAGCGTTGTAAGTCCGCAGACACACCGCTGTGCCACTGAAGAGGCAGATAGAAAAGTCTAGGCAAGATAAAGGATATAATAACTTTAGAAAAAATTCACGTTTTTAAAGTTGATAGATTAAGATTTTGCTTTAATGAAATTTTAGAAGGTAATACATCTGCTTTTGTGACTGGATTTTAAAATGAAAGGCAGCATTACAATAAAGTCATTATATATATATATATAACGCGGATTTTAATCTCACACAAACTGTGTGAAATAAGAGTAAAACGTTTCTTTTGATGGTCGATGAAGGTAGTCCTGAGAAATTAAGAAACTGCTGCTGTTTCCCAAAACGGAGATTTGTTAATACACACATTATTTTGGGGAAGATTTGACAACCTTAAAATTTTAACCTAGATTTTCAACGCACTTTATGCATTTCTGTTTCCTGTCTGGTTTCTCTCGAGTTCTTTATCTGTCATTCCCCATCTATGCTTTTGGCTATTTTCCAACTTGATCCTGTCTCTTTACTAGATTTTTTGTTCATTTTTGTAGTATTCTCTCCACTTCTGTATCATCTTCATCTTTATATATCTAAAACCATCAATGTTGGTACCACTGTACATATCCTTTTGCTGAATGCACACTTTACCAAAGTTGTTAAAACCGTTTTAGTAGCAGAATATGATGTCTGTATTATAACACTTTTCCCAAGAAACTTCTATTCACAATTTCAAAGAAATTTAAACGCAGAAAATAAAAAGGTTTAGACAGACTCTAGTGTAGTAAAGCCTCTTTTATCTGCGTGTAATGCTAGAATGTACCATCGGTTAAAGACTACATGATCAATAAGAGAAATTCTGGGATGTTCTGTACACACATTATTTCAAGACCAAACAGATCCGATTCGGATTACTGTAAACACTCCGTTGTCCTAAATGGATCTAGCTAATTCAAATATCTTAAACAGAGACGAGAACAACATATTCATGCATAGTGGTATTAATCAATTATTTACTTATCGACTCGCTAACGCTTAAGTTATTTATTTCCAAAACACGAACAATGTTACAGTACCAACCAATCTCGTACACCTAGACAGGAAAGCTTGTCTGAACTCTAATTTGATATATCTGTACAAACAAGGCCTGGACAATAGTCTGCAGCATGTACTTTAAAAGGGTTCCGTGATTTAAACACATATAATACATATTAAAGCTGTTACTGGATTTTGATTCAGCACTAGGGTCCAAATTTCATTATGAAATAACAATCAGTTGAGTTTCATCACCTTTGTTTTGAACTACTGAGCTATTGAACTTAACAGTTTATGACTGATATATGAAAAAATTATCTATGTTAAGTAAAATCTGAGATGGAATGTCTCGTAGTTTAATCTTTGCTATACGTAAAGTAGAAAATATTATTTTTCTGTTGAATAAAGTAAAATTTGGTTTTATGTTTGTTTTTGTTGTTGTTGTTATTTAAACCGATCTCTCAAGAATTATTTGTAATGATACTTACAAAAATTATTTATCATGATACTTACTGTAAACTAGCTTTGAAGATAACTATAAAAATCGCCGAAGTTACTCTGGATTATTAAAGCTCTGATCAGTCATCATCTGGTCGTATTATAATAATTTAATGGGTACTTAATGTTTAAAGATATCAGTTAATAGTTATATATATATTTCATTTCTCGAAAAACAAAACAATGCCAAGAACATTTTGAGTCCATTCACTTACTTAGTGGTAAGTAAAGATTCAATATTGAATATCGTTTTATAAATAAATACAGAGTTCTATAAAATATTCCATAAGAAAAAAATGCGTGTGTCATCTCAATATTTCAATATACAACAGAATGGAATAGATAATGTTTAAGTGTTCTACTTTCAAGTACCTCACCTGGTGTTATATAGTTTATTTTAATACCTTGGGAAGTCATATCACTAACAGGTTGTCTCGGGGAACACAATGTTTAAAATGTGCTATATTATGTGCCTTTAAAATCATTCTTGTTCAATTTACAGCCGAAAATATTCTATTTCTTCTGCTCTACATGAATTTTATATGGAAAATGAGACTTGACTGAGGGATCAACTCTTCATTTATCAGTGCATACGTTTTTTTTAAAAAAGAGAACAATATAATATGTATAATTTTTTAATAACATTTGTCGTTTAACAAACTTTATAGTCGTACAGCTGGCCGGCTTACATGTGCAGTAAGCAGTGCAACCTAGTGACCAGTTTTCATCAAGAAATGAAGCAATAAGTTTAGATGAGGTTTTGCGCTCGAGGCAGAAGGTTCATATTTGCTATAACTTATTTCGCAAAATTCAATCAAAGTAAAGTATAATATTATAAGCTAAAGTCCATATGAATATCATGATTCTGTATCTATTTGTGCTCTTTATACTTAATAACGATTAAAAGCAGCAACAATGAATAGCAACTTCGCTAAACTCTTTCACCAAATAATGAAATAGCTAAATTATAGCTCGTAACATAACATATCTATTATATAGTTTTTTTTAACGAATATGGTATTTGAACAATCATGGTATAGTTCCCAGACAGGTGATGGATCTCAAACGCCTGTAAACATGTTTCCTCTGCTGAGGTGTCTTTACGAAAGGAAAAAGCCTTACTACTAGTTATACTATAACTATATTATAAAAGTAGTTAGAATTAGCACACTTGTCTATACTTCATACATAATTAAACTGAATATAATTCAGATTCATTAAAACTGGTGATGATTCTTGTAAAATACTGAAAGAAAGTATTAACATTACCTGACCCTTGACCTTGTGAATCGAGACTAACTTCCCGTCTTATCTGAGTCGGAAAAGAAACCGCTCGTCCTTGTCCAACTTGATCCATTCTCATTAAATTCACGTAACTGGTTTAGATGCAAACGTAACTGGTTCAGATCCAATTATTTTTCGGCACAACTGCTTTCTGAAGATGCCTTTCCAAATAATATTCGCTAACATCTGTCCTCTGAAACAGTTTTAAAAGCAAATAATACTTTTAACTTGATTGTTTATTTTATATGTCTTTTCATGTCTGTGTGTGTCCAAGAAATTCTTTGTAAGATTATTTTGCGAAATATGTTAAGAAGAATTTTACAATTATTTATTTCTTCTGAATTTTGGGAGGCAATACAATATAAAAAGGATTTGCACAAAATAAATACAGAATTTCGTTACTCTACTTGTGGAATTTCATTTATTGAAGTCACTGAAGTTTCATATCTTGGTACTTCGTGAACATTATATGAACATACAAGAATATCTTTTGATGAAGTAAAATCGTTTGCGTTTTTTTTTTTAACTATAAAAACTCATTTCTCCACCCCATTCCCCTCTTTCACTAGTCATGCTTCTCTCTCCCGGTTGTTAGGTACCGACTCTTCCGGTTAAAAGATTCGGGAATCTTAAGCTAAACAATGAAGAAAGTGAACTTCTACTGACGCATTTCCTTAATAAAAAATCGATAACGCAAGTCAGCTCGATGTACGAGATATTCTAGAAAAGGTAGAACTTTAATAAGGTCACCCTGCGAATGTTCACAGTAATTAAATAAAAATAAATTCGATATGGTAAGTTTGTTGGGGAGTGCAACTGATTGTCATGGAATTTAAAGAGAATGTTTGTCTTTGCGAAAACACCAGACAAAAAATAATCACCAATAAGGGACTAAACTGAATTATGTTTAGTGATATTGCATATTTTAAAAAGTAGGTAAAAAAATACGTTATAAAATTTAGAGTCAATATATTTAACATTTAAAGTTTACTGAGCAAATAAAATGTTTAAATTATAAATACCTTCATTTTTGCAAATCACAAAATCAAACTTAATAATAATTCTAACGATACGGGTATAACCAAGAAACCCAAAAGTAAACCTTGAAAAACTATGATAAAACAGTATCAGTGTTCGAACTCGGAATCTTAGGAGAGCTAACTACAACACACAATAGAGTAACTAAAAAAAGTCTAGCTTTCATTATGGCATTTGCAACAATCACAAAACGTACGAAGAAGTAATATAACGCAAACTTATTTTGTATTTCGATGAAGTTTTACCATTTTAAGATCTCCCTGTTATTAAAACTCGTTACCTGTTGTTGTTGTTGATTATTTTCCAAGGACGAATGATTTACCTAAGTTATATCATTTTTTGCCGTTTACAAGCTGTTGGGATCACACTGTACCTACTGCCAACTCAAACACGCAGTAGTAAGGTTATAAGTATGGCACAAAACCATATAATATTGTATTAGAAGTATTACCTAGTCAGTTACTAACCTCTATCAAATAATCACATACAGAAAATTATTCAAAAACAAATTTAATCCCAAAATCCCTGCAGCAGAAACTGTCGTAAAACACAAATTCTGGTTCAGAACTGTTCTCATTTTTTAAACACAATCTTAGCAATAAAGTGTGCGCTAACATAAACTAAAACAAAATAAAAAATTAGAAATGTCTTTTTTAAGACGGACAATACGCATTGTGTTTATAACTTCTGTTGACGTGAAAAGACTTGCGTATCTCTTTCTCTGAGAACGAGAGCAGTAATAAGAACGTGAAAAGTACAGAAATACGACCTGTCTAAACTTTGCTTTTATCCAATCTTTCTAGATAATCGTCACGTCCTCTTTTTTCAGTTTCAAAATGTCTACTGGTTGTCACATAGTTTCACTCAAGTCTTTAACAGGTGCAATATATATCTAAAATGCCACTAGACATCTTAAAACGTAACATTCATAGAAATGTTTATATTGATTCACCCAGACTCACATCTGTTCATAATCATTGCAAAAGCAGGGAATGAGACATTGCTAATAATAAAGAAGACTCTTTTGATTCGGCACAAAAAGGCAGCTTTGAATAACCATCAAGACATTACAGAATTTTTATTAGTAATTTAAGGCAATTTAAACTTTCAGTTTTTCACACTGTTATTATAAAAGATAAAGTCGACAAAATCACTGAGTCTAATCATTAAAATTCCAGGTAACAATTTTTTTCAAAATAACTAAATATTATTACGAACACCGAACTCAAGTCCCACCTTGGCATATAATAACATCTCGTTGCCAAGAAAGGTTTACATTAATACGAAACTCAAAGCTTAAATTTCTGTTTATTGCCATTTCATTTGTTTAGAAAGGTAATGTAAAGTCTCAGTTAAATTCAGACATTTATAAACAACAAAATTTCAATTGTCAAGTAAAATATAACACATCACTGAGCCCATTTCTGACATTTTTAATTATTGGTATTTCAGTTGTCAAAATATCTAACATGACAACAAAGATCTGGTTCTTCAATTATACATAATATTATGCCATTTGTCTATAAAATTAACAACGTTCATAGTTATCAACATTTTATATGTCAAAAAACTAACACGAACACTGAGCTCAGGCCTTACATTTGTAGGCCAGAAAAGTTCGTTTCCTAAAAGAAGATAAGGTGATTTTCGAACTCTTGTTCTATATTATTGGTAAATGACTTCAGTTGTTAATAAGACAAAGCTTTATTTGTCAAAAGTATAAAATCAATACTGAGTTATGGTCTTACAATTATACGTAATAACATAGAATTTGTGTGTAAAACTAACACGAAGACCAGTCCTACATTTATAGTTATTAGCATGTTATTGACAAAACAGCTAACATGAATGTGGTGTTAAGTTACAGCTAACAGCATTTTATTTGACATAATATGCTAACAGGAGCAAGGAATTCAGGTCCTACGTCCATTGGTACAATACTTTGCAAACAAAATTAAAAATGAACACCGAACTTAGTTTGTACACTTATATATATTAAAGTTTAAACTGGTCAAAGAAACTTAACATGAACATCGAGATCAGTGCCAATATTTATAGGTAAAAGAATTTTGATTTTAAAAAAGGTAACATCACATCAAACTTTGTTCCTACATTTTAAAACAATAATAAAATCTCATTTGTCAAAAATAAGGTAACGTGAAATCGAGCTCAGATCCTACATTTATATTTAACATTTAGATGTAACAATTTAATTTGTATATTTAACATTTATATGTAACAAGTTAATTTGTATATTTAACATTTATATGTAACAGAATTTAATTTTCAAAAAAGCGTTGATATAAATCCCGAGCTCAAGTCCTACATTTTTCAATTAACAAAAATATATAACAATTTCTATTTTCTACATCTTAACATTTCCAGATCAGCAGGTTGGTTCCAATATTTCTTTCAGGAATTGCATTTATCAAAAAACGTAACATCACGCCAAATATACTTCATACACTTAGTTTTGATAACAAAATTTCCTTTGTCAAAAAAATGCCAGTAGGAAGACCGTGCCAAACTCCTCTATGTCTAAGTAACAGCACTTCATTTCTAAACAAACAAAAAAAACATTGTAAAAAAAATAAAATGTGGTTCGTAAGCCAAGTTAACTTGAAAACAATGCTCAGCTCCTATATTTTTAGTTACCAATATTCAATTCAACCCAAAACTGGTATGAACACTACTAACCTTACATGTACAGGTCAGATACTCTCATTTATACAAACTAGCCAATATGAACGTCGAATTCACAAAAAAGACAACTAAAAACGCCATAGATACAGTTGTTTTTCGATTTACCTCTGTCCAGGACAACTGATAAGGGACGGAATTCTCTGAAACCCATATAACCTGGCTACAAGTGATGAATAGAAACATAGATTGGTCTTCATATTTATTTTTAGTATCTTTTAGCATTCGGACACAATTCAGAAGAATACAAAAAGCCTACAGTAGTTTTGCGTCTTGCTTTTTCGATTTGTTTCTGTTTGGGGCTATTAGTGATAGGTGTAATTCTCTGAAACCGAAATAACTCAGACAAATTATGAATAAAAAAATTGGTTGAACTTCATATTTATTACTGTTGTCTTAAATAACTGCATTTCTCTCACACGTGCAACATTTCATTTGTACAAATAAGCTAACATAAGCACAGAGCTAATCTATGTATTGCATTTATAGATAATAAAATTTCATTTGACTATTACCACAGTTACTTTTCCTACCACTTAATCCACAGAACACAAATACCAAGCAAACATAAGATTACACACATATAACCTGAAAACATAAACAGACATGGCCCTGAAAAGGAACGTAGCAATAGAATTTCAACAAATCAAATCAAACCAGCCAACCAAAACCCAAACCCAAGAAGTTAGAAACATATAATACCAGCACAGAAGGGATGAAGGGGTCTACTAGAACCTGACCCTCCCAGGTCGTAAAACGAGCTAAATTCCGATCCAGAGCGAGCGAACGAAGAAAATCATTTATTCGTTAAACAATATTTAACGTAATCATCGAGCTCAGCGCCCACATTTAGAGATAAAACCTGTCATTTGTTTAAAAATATCTGGCATAGACATTTACGGGTAATAATACTTTGATTTTCAAAAAGTTACAAAAAACTAACTTGAACACTGAGCTCAACTCATACGCTTATAAAAAAAATGGGTGAGAGCATTTTATCTACCAATAAAACTAACTGAACATAATTTAATTCAGATACATGTAAGTATTTGGTTTGGATTGAATTTTGCGCAAATCTACACAAGGTCTATCTGCGCTAGCCGTCCTTAACTTTGCAAAGAAAGACAAGAGGGAAGGCAGCTAGTCATCACCACCCACCGCCAACTCTAGGGCTACTCTTTTACCAACGAATAGTGGGATTGACCGTCACATTATAATGCCCCCACGGCTGAAAGGGCGAGCATGTTCGGTGTGACGGAGATTCGAACCTGCAGATTGCGAGTCAAGCTCCCTAACCACCTGGCCATGCCGGGCAACTAATATGCACACGAGCTCATCGTCTGCACTTACAGATACCAGCATTTACCTATCAAAATAATCTAACATAAACATTTTGCTAATCTCCTACATTTCTAGATAACAGCACTTCATTTGTCAGGAAAAGCTAACATGAAT